AGTTTGTGTTGGTCCTTGACATGCACAGGGATGGTCCAAAAACCAGACGCAATGTCGAGGGTTGAAAAATATTTACCATTGGTGACCTTCGGCAGTTCCTGTTGGATCTGAGTCATTGGCCACCTGGACAGCGGAACTTGTTTGTTTAGCTTTCTGTAGTCAATGGTGAGTCTCCATAAAAAAGATTTTTTTGATTTCGTTGTATGTATGGATCACTTGGGTTGTTACCAACATCTGGTGAAAATTTCATGTCATTAGCACCTCTAGTAATATATTTACTGAGAAAAATGGTGACGTGTTCAATACTTATTTTACCTGCTGTATCTCCTCTGGTTTTTTTTTTTTTGTTTTGTTTTGTTTTAATGACTTCTAATCACAATATACCCATCGAGACTGTAATCTCACGTGGAACAGAGATAAATCCCATTTTTATGATGTGAGGTGCTCTTTGAAGAGCTCCCTCTCTCACACATGCTCACACTTTGACACACTGACCTACTTTCTCCGAGCTCGTGCACATAGGATCTTGTGCTCACAGCAAAGGGATCAAGTGAGAGCAAGATAAACATTTTTAAATATGCACACTCAAACACAGAGACCACAAACCACACATTGGAGGAAATAAACAAAGCAACAAGAGAGAGTGTGCAGACTGCATTTTTAAAGACTTGTTTGTCTCCTGTTTGTGTCTAATCTGCTCCTGTGCATCATGAAGAGTAGCAGAGAGAGAGAGAGATGCAGATCCATGTTTTGCTGTGCTCACGTGTCCTCGCTGCAGCGCCTGTCAAGCTGTCGCTGAAGGAAAGAGAGCTTATTATGGGAGCAGCTCCTGCTGTCCTCCAGATCAGCAGCAGCCAGCCTCTCTGTCTCCTTCAGTCAGGGTCTGTCTTCTCAGCCTCCACAAGATCCAGAGGAAAGTGATGTTTTCTGTCTTCTCAAGTAAGTCAGCTAAATTATAATGTGTGTTTGAAACTTACCAGGCTGGGTGTCAGTGAAAGTAGAAATGATGTAAACAGCGTGCTCAAAAATCTTCCCGTTTTCTGTAATGAACTTTGCTAAAGTCTTTTTTAATATATGTTTTGCTTCAGTGAAGCAGACTTTTTAAAGTGGTTTCAATCCATAGATCTTCAGACTTCATGAAAGTTTTTCTTTAACAAGTTACACAAGTTTTTTCAGCTGAATTGTGTTCATTGTTGTTGTTAATTAAGATTTTTAACTCTGATCTATGCTGAGTGGAGACATAACAAACATTTTAAATAGATATTTTTAGTTACTTTGTTACCAGCAACCTGTCATAAATATAGAATAGAATAGAATAGAATAGAATAGAATAGAATAGAATAGAATAGAATAGAATAGAATAGAATAGAATAGAAAAGAAACAGCCTTAATTGTCCCACGTGGGGAAATTCAGGTGTAGTAGCAGCAGCAGGTACATACATCAATCCACAAAACAGTATGTTGCTATGTGACAATATCAATTGTAGCAAAAATAATAGAATTAAAGATAGTAACAGAAAAAATAAACATAGAGTAAAATAAAAATAAGAATAAGAATTACCGTACCGGACTATCAAGATGAAGTTAGATAATAAATGAAAGTAAAAGCAAGCTACTGTGCAGAAAGATACACAATTACAGGAAATAACAGTCATGACAGACTTGTGCAAACTGAGTCGAACTCTGGGGTGTGCAAATTGTTTCAGACTCAGTCATTAAGTCCAGTACAGCAAAAATTAAAAACTGTGAACAATTATTATTATCATTGGTTATTATTTGTGTAATGATTGCGGGGTAGAGTTGTTTGATGTGAAAACACAAACATGGGTGCTTATCATGATTGTTGCGAGTGGTCATGGTTATAAAGTCTAACAGCTGATGGGAGAAATGATCTGCGGTAACGCTCCTTTGTGCATTTAGGATGCAGCAGTCTGTCACTGAAGAAGCTCTGCAGATCAGCTACAGTTCCATGCACTGGGTGGGAGGAGTTTTCTGTCATAGATGTTATTTTACCCAGAGTTCTTCTGTCTCCCACCACCTGCACTGGGTCGAGGGGCATCCCAGCACAGAGCTGGCCTGCTTGATGAGCTTATCCAGCTGCTTCCTCTCAGCTGTCAATAAGCTGCTGCTCCAGCTAACCARCCCGTAGAAGATGGCTGATGCCACCACAGAGTCAAAAAAGGTCTTCAGGAGTGCCCCATGCACTCGACCTCAGCAGGTAGAGTCTGCTCTGACCCTTCCTGTAAAGAGTGTCCATGTTGTGAGTCCAGTCCAGTTTATTGTTCAGGTGAACACCCAGGTACTTATAAGAGTCTACTATCTCAATGTTCACTCCCTGGACATTCACTGGTGTCAGTTGGGTGGGACTGCGCCTGCGGGAATCCACCACCAACTCCTTGTTTTAGCAGCGTTGAGGAGGAGGTGGTTCCGCTGGCACCAGTCCACAAAGTCCTGAGTCCACTGTCTGTAATCTGAGTCATCCTCACCTGTGATGAGGCCGACTATGGCAGAGTCATCAGAGAACTTCTGTAGGTGGCAGCCCGGGGTGTTGAAGAGAAATGGTGCAAGCACTGTTCCCTGAGGAGCCCCCGTACTGCAGACCAGTGTGTCCGATACGCAGCCCTGTGTCCTCACATATTGTGGGTGATCTGTGAGGTAGTCCAGGATCCACTGAGACATGTGGTGGTCCACTCCAGACAGCTCCAGCTTGTCCCTCAGGAGTCCAGGCTGGATGGTGTTGAAAGCACTGGAGAAATCAAAGAACATGATCCTCACAGTGCTTCCAGGCTGCTCCAGGTGTGCCAGAGCTCAGTGCTGGAGGTAGGTGATGGCATCATCCACCCTGATACCAGGCTGGTAGCCAAACTGCAGCGGATCCAGGGGGCAAAGATGGTTGAGGACCAGCCTCTCCAGGATCTTCATCAGATGAGATGTCAGAGCGACCGTGCTGTGGCTGCTGAGGTCCTTTGGGTGTTTGGTGTTTGGTACTGGTACCACAGTCTTCCAGCGTTGTGGTACTTTCCCCAGCTTCAGGCTCATGTTGAACATAGTACCCATGATGCCACACAGTTCATCTGCGCAGCACCTCAGGAGCCTGGAGCTGATACCGTCTGGACTCGTAGCTTTACACACCTTGATCTTTCACAGCTCATTTCTTACCTGGAGAGCTGAAAGGGACAGGATGGAGGTGGGGGAGGGAGACTGATGCCTGGAGTCCTTAAAACGGAGGGGGTAGTGGCTGAGAGCTGCGAGGTGTTAAGTCCTGAGTGAGTGGGGTGAGGTGTGGAGGATGGTGGGGAGCTGCTAGGTGTGAATTTCTGATCCGAGAAGTTTGTTGGTGGTGGAGGGGCTGACAGAAAGGGGTGGTGGGGAGGGGGGGGTCAAACCTGTTGAAGAACTGCTTTAGATCATTCACCCACCCCAATCTCCTACAGCCTGCAAGCTTATTTTATGTTTTATATTATACAACTGGTCCCTGTTTTGTTTTGTTTTTTTCAAATGAATATAAAACACCAAAGAAAAAAGAATTTGACTCAGAAAATGGAATTTTAGTACCAATAGAGTGATTTTTAAAGAGCTTTATTTGGTGTATAATATATAATCAGCTACAAGATGATGCAGAGGTACACAAAGATCAATCAAAAGAAAACGGAAAACACAAAATCCTAACAATTACACTTAAAACTTGAAGTTTATTAGTTTCACGATTTCCTTATACAGTTTTACCTTTTTTTAAATAATACTGCAGACTTGAATATTATACAAAAACACTAAGTTGTACGTTAAACTAATAGGTTTACAATAATGCTCCCCTTATCGTTGGCTTGGAAATAGTGTATGGATATTAATTCATCAGTAAACACTTTATAAATCAATAAGTATATGTTATGCATTAATTAAGGATGAGAGACAAAATAGTGAGTCAAATCTGTTCATGTACGTTACATCTAAAAAGGTGCTATAAACATTTCGCACTAGGTTAACTTGTAAGCACAATAATCTACTGGAAACATTTTACATATAATATTGTACTGTATTACTGCATTATATATATA